ATTTAGCACTGTTCGTTTGGGGAGAAATTTCGCGTCTTAATTACAATAAAATATTTAAAACGCTACCTCTACAGTTGCGTTTAACTACTAGACTACCCGTCAAGAATTGGGGCTTATATGACTGCCCCCCAAACACATATCCTTGGGTAATTTGATAGTTATGACTGCTCCCCGGGGAAGGAGAGTTTTCCTTTTGCTCAAGGCGTCAATTGAGGGAAGGCTTGATAGGAAAGCTCGGGAAACGAGGCCTCTGGAATTTCGTTCGCATGAATATTTAGTTGCGTAATGTGGACACGCCCTCGAAACAGTTTAATTTGTGCGACAGCAAAACAAAAACAAAAGGCAAATGCTAATTTTATTGACATCCAGAACTCAAGAAGGCGGCGCGGAAATTAAAGGCGCGTAGGGAGGACGTGGGGGCGTGGCCCCGTTCACCCAGTCATTAACACATTTGCGGAGAAAGAACTTCTACCCACTTCCGCCCCTTTTCGCCGCTTGCTAATTAACACGTTTTGAATTGTGAATTTTGAAATGTGTTAAATAATGAAAACGGGGGTGCAAGAATAACAAAACAATATGCAAAAAGGATTTGGTGTTAAGGATAACAAATCGAGGTGATATTCGACGCAGGAAGCGAAGGGAAAATGTTCTATTTGAGCATTAAATATATTACGATTTAAGTTGAGTTTTGCAAACAGCTAACAAATTTATAGTGCAATTATACGCATTCAAAATGTCATGTGTACCTTAAATAAGCTAAATTTAAAAGGTCGTAATAATCTTTGTGTTTGATGAAACTCTTTATAATAAGATATATGAATATATTAGCCCTTGAAAGAGTGTCCCTATTTCGAACTTTCTTAAATTCCCTTAGTTCAGGTTAATTTGTCCTTTCATTCCCTACCCTACCATTGATTCCTGATTCCTTGAGATGGGCGCAACCTTGAAGGTGTCAAAATAACATATTCTCCCCTTTCTCCGATTTCATTAACCTATTACCGGCGGAGCTCCTGAGGTGGGCGTGGCACTTGTTAGGCACCAAATGAAATTAAAACGCGCATAAATTATATGGTTAACACAAAACGTTGACGACGCTGATGATGAGGCCTCCTTGAATATATTAACACATTTTCCACGTTTCGTTTGCTTTCCCGTTCATTTCTCTAAAGCTGCCTAAAAGTTTTGGTTCATTTTGTAGGCAGAGGAAAAAATGTTACGTACATTAATTTTCAAGGATTAAATATTTCTTTATTTTTTCTGAAGAGGTTTTTTATAACAATTCGAAATTTTATTTTTTAATTTTCAAAGTATTTAAAAGTATTATATTATTAAGGAATTCAATGTGAGGGTTAAATATTCATAATAATAGAGTCTACTTTTAATTTTTTTTTTCATACATAATTTGATAAAATTATATATTTTAATAACTTCGACTACTATTTTTTCTTCCCGTATACCAGACTTTCTCAAAGGCACTGTTTCTCCGACTGCATAATTGCTCAATAGTATGATGGAAAAAGGAAAAGGCGTCGCTTTTGTTTAAGCAATTAAGTGCGAATTGGTCGCTTGGGGTAAAAGTGGGCGCGTCTGCTCTGATTTACGTGCCACGCCCCCTTTTGCGCCCCATTTCCCAGTGTTGTGTTCATGTCATTTCACATTTGATTAACTGTAGTTGCTGTTGCAGCTGCAACCAAAAGTATTTCGCTACAATTTTATTTCCATCTGCACCTCTCATCAGTTTCCCCGTCGCTTAATTTCCCCCGCTGCCACGCCCCATTTCCTGCCTGGAAAATGCGCCCACGCATCTTACGTGCATCACATGCCAAGCAGCTGCTGTCATGTAAATTAATTAAAAATGTTTAAACCGCCGCCGGTTCGGCAGCTGCATTTCCTGCAACATTTTCCGCAGGGATGTAAAAAAAAAACACAACCAAAGAAGGAGGCTAACTTTTGCTCAGGCGTAAGGAAAATGCGCTGGAAAATGCCTTAAATAAGGGAATGGATATGAAAATTATCAAGATACTTATCCCCAAGTAGAGTAAAATCTAGACTGCTTATAAGAAGTCAAAAAATATGGAAAATACATTTCTAATTTCATATTATTTCTAATTTCATTCTTTTTTTATTTTGATTTATTAGCTGTAAGGGATTTATTTCTATCATTATCAAAAAAACAAATATGTTGTAAGATAAATATAAACGTTTAAAGTTGTAGTTAAAGGTCCCTTACAAAATTTAAATCAAAAGCCTAGACGAATTCATAACATTTGTATATTGACGACTTTACCTGGCGACAACCTAGCCTTTTGATTATACAAATTTATAGTCATAAAAATGTTATACACAACTATATGATACTAAGAAGCTTTAGGTCTTTGACGGAAAACGGTTCGAAAAGTGCTGACATATTTTTATGCATTTTTTTATAAACTTTTTTTATAGACCTCTATCAAAGTTCAAAGTGTTGTCGTATTGCTGGCTTTTTATTTAAATCGAAAAAAGTTTGCACTCTGAATGGGTGTTGCGTGGTGAAAGTATTGAGTGGGTGGTTGGGGTTAAGTCCAAAGTTGTAGACAAGTTAGGAGTGGTTCAGGTAGCCCCTGTTCCAGGGAAGATGGGAATTTTTGGATTTGGCATGGCAATAAAATATTGTCTACGAGCTACTGTCAACTACAGTAGATAGCGAGTAAATCGAGTAATTTTAAAATTAACTTTTGTATTACAAAATATAATCTGTAAAATAATAATGGTATAATTTTTTTTCTTGTAAATTTCAGCTGGAATTGATTTTTTTAATATAATAAACAAAAATATTTTTAAGCCTCATTCGAGTTTCTGTCGGATTTTTTGATTGTACACAAAACTAAGCTGTCTTTTCAGCTATTTCATAATTTTTATAGTTCCTAAAGATTTTTCACTGTGGTCTCCTCGAACCTTGAATGCGACTGCTCTTGAATGCTTTTATGACAACTCAATTTTGAAATACACTTTAGTTTGCCCGCTTCAACCATGACTGTCTGCCCCAAACCTTGAAACCCCTCTGCACAATTTTCCAACCCCCTCCGCAACTCAAACTCAAATGTACCACCTAACCTGATCTACAAGCAAAGTTGAGGAGTTTTCGTGGGCAACACACAAAACGCATAAATTTATGTCAAACATTTGTGCGACGTCTTCGCATCCGCCCTCCCGTTCACTCTCTATATATCTATCTCTTTCGGTGAAACAAATTTATTTGGACTTTTTAACAACTTTTGTGTATCTGTGTGTGTATTTTCTGTGCTGAGGTGTTGGCACAACCTTTGTGGCAGTATATATTTTTTTCATTTTTGCGTAAAACTTGCCACATTCAGTTTGCAAATATTTTTTATGTGCCACGACACATTCAAAAGGGGGGTTTGGCGAACAGGGGGTTAGGCGAACAGGGGGTTAGGGGGTCGAAATGTTAATCCTGGAAAGGATGGGACATAAACTACTCTGAACATTTTTTCTGAAGTTGAATGGGAGTCACTTTTGTTGATTGCTCAAAATACTCAGAGGGGCCTGAAAGTATAGTTGGCTTCCATATGTAATTCCAGTAATCTAGGGGGTTCTTAGGAAGTAAATGGTATGTAAAAATATTATAAAATCAAGAGCTTATAGTACCCTCAGTCTGCCCTAGTCAGGCCCAACTGTTGATTCACTTAAGGATAAAAAACGAATGCACTAGCAAATGCAACTAATCAACATGTTGCCAAAAGAGAGAAAGTCGCCAAAAGAAAGTCAAAGAAGAGTATTTTGAACAGAGAGGGGTACGAATGGTAATGGAACAGTTTCTCTCTGGGAAAGTTAGCCGGGATTGGGGCAAAAACTTGGCTAAACCCGAGTCTTAACGATAAAGGCCCAAAACAAAATTTCGTGGACTCTGCTTCGTGTGTGTTTATGCTCATAAACAAAATACTTCGACTGACCCCAAAACATAAATAAACGAAAATGTAGAGAGAAAACTTATAAGTTCAGAGAAAAATAAATATTTAGTTATTATAAGTGAATAGCTAAATTAAAGATATAAGCAAAGTTTAATAACCAAAACATTGGAACATTTAGTTTATCCCGTTTAGCTTAATAGTTTTCTTTGTCAGCCTAAACGTTTTATTTATGAGATTTGAATTTATCAGTAGAACAGAGAATAATTAACAGTTAAATTGATTTTTATTTAATTTTTCAGGGTAACTGATTTGTGAAGCACATATAGGCAATTAAGAGTCGATTTAAATGGACAAAATGAAATGATAACAAAACATAAAGCAATTAAAAGCATTTTAATTGATTTGTTTTGTTATAAAGCAGGACAATTAAATGTAGATATACAAGTTTAGCACATGCATTGTAACATCTGTGGCAAAGCAAATTAAATTGGCATTTAAATATACAAAACAATAAAATAAAATATAAAAAAATAAGAAGAAAAAACGGCTTAATAAAAAACTATAGAAATGTACACAAATAGAAATGTAAAGATGTGTTATAAAAATTTTAATTAAATTATACAAAAACAAAAATATTCAAAACCTTGTTTAATACCATAAAAAATACTGTTATTACTGAATTATATTTTAGTGTTAGTTATTCATACTTTTTTGGAATATTAAAAATATATTGTGTGAATAAATATTGAACTACTTCAAAAAACTCAGCCCTAGGGCAACTTGTGGTCCGCGTTTTCGAGTCCCTTTTCTAAAGTCCCTAACCTACCACAAAAGTCCTGAAGCGGCTTTAACTCACTCTCAAACTTTCCCTGAACAAACTTTCTCTCCCTTGGCAACATGTTGCGAAGCCTTTCTCTCCGCGCAGTCGCCTCGAATGATATTCAACAACCAAAATTCACGACCTGGCCTTTCGATTCGTTCGCGGCACCCGAAGCTCACTGTACTCGTATCTCACTTCGTCATATCAAACTTCGTTCTTAAGCTTGAACAAAACTGAAATTGCATTTAGTTGGTAAGAAGCGTTCTGCGGCCACGGGCGGCAAAGCGGAAAACTCGGAAAAGTCGGGGAGAACCGAACGGAGAGTCCTAGAAATAAATACAAAAAATTGGAAAAGCCGAAGAAACGCGAGTGCAAGAAAAACGTTGCAGTGGAAATTGCGGACAGGCGGAAACCGCGTTTCGCTTACATGTGCGTTTGTAATTATGCAAATTGCCGGGCAACTCTTTCGACAAATGGCACTCAAGTGCAACTGTTGCCCCCTTTTTGCCGTGACCTTGCACGCCCCTCTCCACCATGAATATTCATGCCGCCAAAAAGCCAGAAACTGGGCCAAAACTAGTGCAGCAAAAATAGAAAAAAAAATAAAATAAAATGCGAGAAAAACCCAAAGGAGCCAACAAACAGTGACAAACAATTTGTGCTCAATTTAAAGCCGCTGCGAAAGTTGTGCTCCACTTACCTTCGCTCATCTGTCAAATCCGTATAATTTCCTCTTTTTTTGCGTCCGTTCCGTTTGTGTGTCAGCAACTTGTTGTCCTTGGTCCTTGGTCTTTGGTCCTAGAAACCAAGTCAGACCCAGACTTCCAGACTCCCAGGCTGTGCAAATAAAATGCAAATAAATTATTTTTATTATTCCATTGTGACAGCTGATTTCGGGGCTTTCTTAGCATTTCTTGTGCTTTTTTTCGGCCATTGTTATGGCCGCTGGTATTTTGATGTCGTTGAAAGTGGCTTAGCTTAAAGTTTCTGGCAATGCATAAGCGAGTTATGAGTTATGTCAAGGACTCACATCGTTAAATTTGTTGAGTTATGAGTTGATGAAAGTTACTCCAATAATATAAAGAGCTTCACTTGAATCAAATAAAATCAGAGCAATTGCAAAAAGTAATTTTATTGGTATCTGACATTGTGGCAAAATAAAATATTTAAATTGATTGAGACATTCGTGCATTTAAAAAGACCAACAACCAATAAATGTCATTTAAATAGTTCTGTGATAATTAAATTGATAAAGAAACGTTTTGTAAAAGAAAACCAATACTGTTGTTGTTCAAAGACTTTTATTTCAGCTTGAGTAAATATAAAAAAACAATTTGGTAGAAAAAATGGAAATCCAAATTTAATAAATAAAAAAGTGAAATTGAGTGTATGAGTGAAATAAGTGACTTGCATTGTCGTTATTATTACTTTGATCTTAAAGCTTTATATAATTTTAAAAAAGGTTTAGATACAAAATTTGTGTTTAGTTTTGTGTTAAAAGCATATTTGAACAGGCTTGGAAAACGATTTTAACTACATTTTGGTTCCTGTTTTATAAAAACAGTTAAAACTCTTTTTAACTTAATAACTAAAAAAAAAAACAGAAAACATTTTAAGAAAGATGAAATAAAAGTTTTTTTGTTTTATTTAAGAATAATTCCTTTGCATAATTTAGTTTTCTTAAAACAGCTTTGCAAACCTATAGCTTGTCACTAAATTAAAAAACTAAAATAACGAAGAGCTCCGCAGTGTTATCAAAATTTGATAGTTTAGGATTTGAACGTAGATTGTCATATAAATTTAAAAATGTATGAGTCAAGTCACTTCTAAAGATCCAGTTTTAGACTAGGGCTGAAAATAAAAATATGCACGAACCATTTATACCTCATAATTACTCAGCATTTAAAGCGAAATAACGCAGGAGGTTTCATTTAACAATTGGGCAGTGAAACGCTCTGGCTTTGTGTCCGCCCAGCTTCGGTTTAAATAAATGGGCCGGCAATTGCCGAGGCTTGGCCAAAAGAGGGCCAATCAACCATTCCGGCGGAGTCATCTCACCTGGGCATAGGATGGGATGGAATGGGGTTTTCGGGGGGATGAAGCCTAATAAGTTTTGAGCACGCAAACGATGGGCCGTTTTCCAGCTCTTTGACTGACATGCTGGCCGCTCATAAGTCGCCGGGCAGTGTAAACATGAATAAGACATTAGCAGCACAGTTTACATGTGTAGAAAAGCCAACTGACTGGCACAATTCCATTTGCGGGATCCACTTCTACTCCTGGAAATTATTATTATTTGGGAAATATGTTAATTTAATGCCTGGGCATGGCCTTTGGAAGCGCAAATTGAAATGTCTGAGGCTTTAAATATTCATTGCCTACTTCTAGGCGCCTTCCATGTGCATTTTGCATGAGCTTTTGTGTGTGTGTGTCGCATTTAATTTAATTGAAACATTTAATTACAGTGTCCAGGCATCTCGAGTGCTTAAATATTTCAAAAGGCATTTCATCATCGCTACAAAATCAATTCTCGAGTGAGCCTTTAAGCAGGCATTGACAACAAATTGAAACCGAAATTAAAAACACAAAAACGCAAACCGCAGAAACAAAAACCGATATGTGTCTCGGGACAATCATCAAAATTGCATTGCCATTGCGACATTAAAATGCAATTTGTGCGGGTCGCCGACTCCAGTGACTGTCAAACCGTTGCCTCTTTAGCGGATTAATGTTTCTGTAAATACCAATCTGCCACCCAAAGAGCCGGACGAAAAAAAAAATATAGGCTGAAAACGGAAAATTCATCAGCAACAACACAGTCAAACATGTCGACCATAATGCTGCTCATTATCGGTAAGTTTTATCTCACAATTAAACAGAAACAAAAGGGGAAAAACATTAATGGAGGCACGAACTCGAAATCAGAATGAAACAGAGGCTGCTGTGGTTTTCTTGTTTTTACTTTAATTTCCCTGACCTCTCCTTTAGGTTTTTAAAGTGAAAAGAATTTTCAATATAAAAGCTACAAAATAGTTTAATTTTATTTATTTATCTTAAAGTAAAACTAAGTTTGAAATTCAATACTACTGAGAATTTTGTAGAAGGTTTAGAACGAGTTAAATTCTACTTAATAATATTTTGTGAACAACTTTAGTGAAACCACCGTTAAGATTAAGATTACATACCTACTTTTTGAAAATCTTTTGTAAAATGAAAGAAAAACAAGAAAGGAAAGCTAACTTCGGGCGGAGCCGAAGTTGATATACCCTTGCAGAATACTCTGTAAATTATATTCTCCAAAATTATTCATATGATGCATTCTTAATACTCATAAAAAATCCCAACTTCCTAACTTTAAAAACACCAAAGTTATGGCATTTCCAATCATTCAGTTATGTATATGGCAGCTATAGAATATAGTCGGCCGATCCTTATGAAATTTAATATGTCGGATTGATTGGGCAAAAATAAAACCCATAGAAAATCCCAACTTCCTAACTTAACAAACACCAAAGTTATGGCATTTCCGATCAATCAGTTATATGGCAGCTATAAGATATAGTCGGCCGATCCTTATGAAATTTGGTAGGTCGGATTAATTGGCCAAATATAAAACCCATAGAAAATCCCAACTTTCCAACTTTACAAACACCAAAGTTATGGCATTTCCGATCAATCAGTTATATAGCAGCTATAGGATATAGTCGGCCGATCCTTATGAAATTTGGTATGTCGGATTGATTGGCCAAATATAATACCCATATAAAATTCCAACTTCCTAACTTAACAAACAGCAGAGTTATGGCATTTCCGATCAATCAGTTATATGGCAGCTATAGGATATAGTCGGCCGATCCCGGCCGTTCCGACTTATATACTGCGTGCAAAGGAAAGAAGGGTGTGTGCAAAGTTTCAATTCGATATCTTTAAAACTGAGAGACTAGTTCGCGTAGAAACAGACAGACGGACAGACAGACGGACAGACAGACGGACAGACGGACAGACGGACAGACGGACAGACGGACATGGCTATATCAACTCAGGAGGTGATCCTGATCAAGAATATATATACTTTATAGGGTCGGAGATGTCTCCTTCACTGCGTTGCACACTTTTGACCAAAATTATAATACCCTCTGCAAGGGTATAAATATACGAAAACCTAATATTAATTTTCCTAATATTCAGATTCAATTTATGTTCAATATTTTTAAAGACCAAATAATATGGAGTGTCCTGTTAAAAGTTTTGAAAATTTGGGACATGCTTCTATAAATAGTTGTATATTAATATATAAATAATATCAAATTTTTGAACGTCTCGTCCTCTTGCATATTTTTGCCAAGAAAGTTGATCAAATCTTTAGGAAATTCCGTCGGAATTTTATTTCGTTACTTGCATACTCCTTTTTCCTTTATAGACAGCGGAGTTTCGCTTAAATAGAAAAAATTGTTTAAGACTTTATACTTCACTGCCAGTACTTGTAAGTCTGTAGCTGGAACCATCACCATGTGCACCTTTTTTCAGACCCAGCCGATTGCATTCTTCTTGCCTGACTGACTTTCACTTGCCCCCTTACATTCTCATTTTTACACCGTGCCACACCCCCGTTTTTCTTATCTGGCCCTTCTGGCGGTTTTCAATTTTATGTGCGCTCTGGGAAATTTCACAATGCCGCAAAAGGCGTTTACGTGAAGGGGCGAAGTGGGCTGAGTGACCATAAACAAAAGACACCTCCCACTCATCAACAACATCATGGACACCGTCCTTCTCCCAACCCAACCTCGAAAAAAAATTCGGTTAACAATTCATTTCCGCGCTTTGGGCTCCATAAATTGCTTTTATTAGGCAGGCGCAACGAAATATAAGGACTGCGTATATATGGATAATAATAATATACTTCAAGTTTTTGCATAACAAATAAAACGAATCAAATTAAGAGGTTACGAAGGAGGGCGAGGGTGTAACGGATCTCCTGCACTGCGAAAAAATGCCAAGGGTTTGATGTTTATACAAAATGGTATTCAAATTGTAATAATAAATCAATAAAAATTACCAGTAAATTATTGTTGATGAATGAGTGTGTGGAATGTTTATATAATGCTTTTATATTGTCATTTCCTTGAAATATATTTGTTATTTTCCTTGTTTCTATAAGTGTATGGCAGGGCTCGAGGCAGTGACAAGTTGTGAAGCGGGCCAGTCAGGGTCAGCTTTTGGTTTGGACCAAACTTGTTGACAGCGCGTCCTGGGCACGCAGGCAATAAAATTCAATATTTCATTAAAACGCACGTTACGCATACGCAGCGTGGCACGAGTCCAAGCCAAACGAAACGAAATGAAACGAAACGGAAAAAGGCAACCGCAGACTGCGTGATGTTGTTGCTTTTATCACACGCAGGTCCGACGTTCAAATCGGATTTCGTGTTATTAGCACTGGACTCACCGCTCCCCATTTCCCTCTTGCTTTTCCGCGTTTTCCTATACGAATTGCCAAGCACCGAGCAAAAATAGGCATTCATTGAGTTATCACTTACCCGTCAATCAAATTAATTAAATTATGTTCATCAAAATTCGGGATTAAAAAATTACTTGGGTTTTACAAACGCTTTTTTCTCAGGATATAATTTATTACTATTTCACTAAAGGAAAATATTTGATGGCAAAAATTCTCTTCTTTGATTTTGGCAACCATTCAATATAAAATATATAATATTTATCACGATACAACTAAAAGATAACCAAATTTGTGGTTTTTTCGTTTAGTATATCTGCAAGCGATTATGGCTTACGAAACAACAAAGAAATTTGTGGATTTTTTTCTCAGTATATCTCCCTTTTTTGATTTGTCAGACAGAGCAAACGTCGACTGAAAGTTCTCGAATTTCACCAACGAATTGAGTCGTTTGTCGCTGTGGATTTCTCACTGACATTCCCCGGCTGTAGGGGCCTCCCTTTCGCTTTCCCTATTGCCTTCTCTTTCCATTTCTCCGGTTTTGGGATTGGCTTTGGCTTCGGGTGGCCTCTGGTTTTTGGTTAGGCGGCTGCGACGCTGACAGATTATTTGCTTTATTATTCATAAGAACTACAGCGAAATGGGGGTCATGAGGCACTGCTGTAATTCATTGTGTTTCAGGGGGTAACAAAGGGTAGATTGTTACGATTCCATCCGAAATGGAATTGCAATTACAAAGGAATTGAAACGGATGAGTGTTTCTTGTTAGATGTATGAAGAGGAGCTCAATTTTGTGGGTGCTTTTGTTAACTGCAATATACACAATAAAAAAACAAGTTTTTAATGAATTTATTTATCTTATGAACTTAAATTTATAAATATGATATTTATTTATTTTGCTTTAACTAGTTTGGTTTTTTGTTCTGAAGACTTCGTAAGTTACAAAAATGATTGCCTAGTTTTTTGGGCAATATGGAAAACTCCAAATTAATTAAATGAACATCTTGATAATACTTAAATAAATATAATTATGAAATAATTTAAAAATTATAATAAATTTAAAAGTTCCATTTCCCTCTGTTAATAACAATTTGTACAAATAAATGTTTGCCTTTTTAATTGGGCACTACAGTTTAATCATTTATTTATATATTCTATGTCCTGTAAGTAAACAAAAAGTTGAAGAAAAATTGAATCCAGAAACATATGTGAAAATAATTTTTTTTCAAAACAAGTAATTAAGTTTTATAACAATAAAAGTAAAAAATCCTTGCCATGCAATTTTTTAAATACCCAAATCTGGATATTTCTTTATATCCGAGTAATTAACTTAACAGGACAACTCCACACCAGCTTAATGACCCCTAGAGGGAGCCACCCTCACCGTTCTACAAAAAACATTTAAGTGCTTAATAACCTCGAAACGACTTTTACAGGGTGCTCAGTGGGTCCAGGCTCTTTGGCTAGTGTCTTGATTATAATGTAGCTACTCATTTGGATTTATTAATTGCGTCCTGGCATTGCGCGTAGCAAGTAAATTAATTAGCAAATACTTGCCTTAATAATCATTTTAATGGAATTTGTAATTTAATGCGCCTAACGAGGGAGTTTTATGTGGGATTACAAAAGCGGAGCTCCCCGATTCCCGCACTTATTGATTTTCCCCGTAATGAAATCGCTCCGTCTGCGTTCGCAATGTTTTACTGTCTGACAAGTCACCGCATGACCAGACCACAATTTGTTTAAGCGGCTTTAAATATTTCAACATGCCAACTTGCCAATCGAGCTCGGAAATGGCCAGGGGTCAGGGGTCACTCAACTCCTCCCGGCGTACTGGACAGTCAATCACTTTATACAACTTTTTATGGCACGACATTAATTGATGGCCAGCGGAGTTGGGGCTGTAGTACTAAATAGTAGCACTTAAAAATGCTGTACTACAATAATTTATTTAAATTGTCAATGACTTGTTTCGAAATTGGAGTTTTCAATTGTGTAGGATTCAACCTTATTTTGTTTTGAAAACATTTTTTCATCAGTTAAAATATTCAGAAGTGATTTAGTTTAAGGTTTTTGAATTTATATCAATAGTTTAGTTTAATGATACAAATTTTTTACTCTTGTTTTGACCTAAAATAAAAACTCTTTTATACATAATTAAAAAAGTACTTACTTCTGAAATCTGTTCTTTTATAACTCCATGCGTATTTTTTCCGAGTGCTTATAAAACCAAAATACGCATCGTAAAAGCCAATTGAAATTGTTTTTTATTTGCGAGTGCCGGGAAATAATTATTTGCGTGCCTGACGAGTTTTCCTCCTCAAATGCCATTCGCATTTTACGATTTGATATGCTAAATAGCCGAAAAGTTGGCCATAAATTTTTAAAGCTTTCAATT